GTCATATAGCTCTAACGAGTGGATGGATCTTGTTCGTGAACGAACAGCTTGATGCGGGGGCTGTTTTGACGGCAGAACTGTCAAGGCCGAGTTTTGACGTGTGTCGCAGATGGCAAAATGATCGTGGTAATTAACCGGCTCGCGCTTAATCACTGCCCAAGCACTCGGCGCAGATGGTTATAGCAAGTGAAGTTGCAGCGTGCGTGCCCTAATCGGTGTTCGCCGCGCGTACGTTAGCTTTGTTAATATTTAGTGGCTCACTCGTGCCCTGACGGTGCTTTAATAGTTCTTTATTGTTTTAAACCCTCACATTTTCCCTCACTGCAGGGTAGCACCTCCCCGCCTTTAATTTTTTCCCCTCCTCCTATTCTTCAATAGGCCACTACCACCCAAGAAAAAGAGTAGAAGGAATCGAATAGGCTATAGCACCCCAGCTCACTTTTTTTTCTTTTCCTTTCACGCGTCTATTTCGCTTCTCGCTTTCTTTACCATCTTTATTCCCTATTCTCTCTTTCCTCAGTGCAGGGTAGCAAACCGGATGCTCCGATTTCTGGTTACCCTCTCTGTCCTTCCCTCATTTTATTCTCTCTCTCTCTTTTCCTCCTACTCCATAGTGTCTGAGTGGGGTGAGCAGAGCGATTTTCTGAATATACGTGGTACATACGTGGCGTGCACGTTTTGTAGCATCTATAGCTGTAAGGCTCGAAGTTGCCTACATTCATAGCGAGAGAGAGAGAGAGACGCAAGAACATGTTCTGAAAAAGAGATTAGGAGGAAAGCAAGCATAGGCATATACAGTGTATTATAGCACAATGCGGTGAAGACACAGATGAGAAGACAAATCTGCAAGTCGAATCAGAACGAAGCAGGTGTCCACCAGCACTTCTTCAACCCAGCTGAGCTCGCACACCTAGGTTGAAAGCACTGCACAGGGGTCACTGAGGTTGAAGCTTCTCAGACCTACACGAATTCACTTCTCTGACATTCGATTTGGGAAATCGCGGCAGCGAGCTCTGCTCATCATGGAAAAACTAGATGGAGAACCTTCAGCAGTTGCAGGCAAATTCGGGCTGTCGGAATGTCCAGCTTATTGAAGGGCAACAGTATACGGTGTTCAGAAGAGAGTTAGGCGTCGCAGTAAAATGTACCGGTCTCCCTCGGGCAAGTCGCGGGGAACAGGCGCTATTGTTGACAAGGCTAGTGAACTGCATGCTGCGGCTATCGGAGTCGGCGAGAAGAGCTTTAGAAAATAGCCCGCTCATTTTCTACACTTTTCTTTCCTTATTTGGCAAAATATATTTAAATAGACGTTCCTTTCAACTATATAGAAGTTGTAAGAAATCCCCCTTGAACTTAACGCGCGTTTCTTTATGTGAAAAACTAGCGAGAGACTTTCCTTTTGCTCGAAAAAAACAAACTTGAAAACGCGCTTTCAGTTTCGACGTTTGAAGCTGGAAAAAGGGGTGACCGGAAAGTTTTTGGGGTACAATGCTTGTGACCTTGAAACTGCCTATAGATTGCGCTGTCTTTGCTTGTGCTTCTGGCTGTTTCTCTGGCAGTAGCCGTGCTAATGCCGGCCGTGCTTCAGTTCTCATGCGCTGTTTCAAATAGACTTTCCCACCTGAATAAGAGCTTTAGATTGCGCGAGAACGCTTCTCTTGTGCCGGTCGATGCCTTCCTTGTTCGCAGTTCGCAAAAAAAAAAACATCCCCCCACTCTCATTTTCAGTTGAACCTCGTATGACGAACGATAGTTTAAAGAGTCTTCGCCGAAAGCAAAACGTTGAATCGTCATTTTACAAGTGATTAGATTGTTGCCAATATTCTAATATAATTACTGGCAAAACCACTAGCGTAAGTATAGTAGACCTGAAGTTTAGTTACAGCAACGTGCAGCAGGCGTTACCGTCAGCATTTGACTCAAATGACAGTGGGTAGAACTTTATCCTTGGACGACGTCGCTAAGGCGTCTGTCACTTTTCGTGTAGCTTTGGGAAATTTCCCTTTACGTAGAGTAACTACTACTCTAAAGCGTTACCCGCTTTTTCGAAACACACCAGCCCTACGACAGCCAACAGTCGTATTTTCGCTTAATAGAGGTCACATTCCCCATTGAGTTAAGAAATTCACTCCCGTGCAGAGTGCACAGTATTTGATTTCAGGCAGAGCTTACTGCCCTCCGTAGTGCTGAAAATCTTCAACATGAATCTAGTGACATTAACATCTCCAGTCTTATTGGTGTGCTTGCACTCTTTATTTTGACACATTTCCACAACGAAGTTTCCGTATGCTCCGTATTACTTCCTTAAGGAAGTTTCCGTATACTCCACAAAGCATTCCATATTTCCACATCTTTCCTTATTTTCCGTAAGTAATTTTCCGTATATACATGACTTCCGTATTGTTCTATATATTTTATAAGGAACTTTCCGTATGTCCTATCGTGATTTCCGTATGCTTCCATATTTTCTTTAAAAAGTTTTCCGTATATGCCATACAACTTCCTATGTTCCATAAAAGTCCATATTTATTCCGTATAATTTATAAGGAAATTGTGTAGAGTCCATATTTTTTTCCGCAAGATTTCATATGGTGCGTTTCAGTAGAGCATGCACTCAACCATTTAACGACCCATCCCTCTCTCACGCCAGGTCATAATTTCCAGAAGAAAAAAAATAGCCGAGTAGCTGCGCACTTCGCTGCAAATGTCGTCGAAAGAGGGTATAGTCTTCTGTCTGGAGGCGCTGTGTGAGGTATAGACGCCAGCTGGCAGTAATGTCGGGCAACAGGAGCTTGTGCGGAACCATAGAGGTAATATGAACTCTACGTACAGAACCCAGGCCTGGTTGCATGCAGGCGACAGCTACATTTAGTCGGCAGACAGCTGTTTCGTACTTAGCGTCGCATTTTCAGTGCTGCGTAAGAAAGACTGGAGTCTTTAGAATCCCGTAACTATGTATTTTCTAGTAAAGGACACATCACATAATACGTATTGATTTCGCACCTCACATACCTGTAATATTTGCTTTTTGAAGGATCGATTGAACCATAGACCGACCGACCGACCGACGGGCAGGCAGACTGATGGACGGAGGGACGGACGGACCAATATTTCTGCGTTCAAGTATCCCAAGAAAGACTATCGTATCTTAAACAAAGGTTTAAAAAGAAAAAAACCGTGGGCAGAATTGATGTCTTCAAAAACGCACGGTGTTTATCGAGCACTTTGGACAATACAACTACTAAAAACAGGAGAAAAAAAAAGGATCGCTCAGCTTAGCGACACCACTGCAAACGAGCTATAGACGCGATTACAGTTCAAGTGCTCGTTTCCCGCGCTTTTTCTCATCTTCTTTATCGTTTTAATGACTAACTGACGTAATCTCCTCTTCATTGTGCGCAGCGAATCGAGTGTTGCGTTGAATGCGCTTATGTCGCGGAGCGCGCGGCTGGTCTTAGCACTGGTAACGGTGCTCTGCTGCTGACCCGAATGTCGCGACCGTGGCGGTCGCATTTCATTCATTCAATCAATCAATCAATCAATCAATCAGTCAATCAATCAATGTTTCTTTATTAGCATTAGAATGTACATTGTGAGAAAGTATGCAGGAGGAGGTCCCAAGGTAGTAAACCGCAGGCGGGACCTCCATACAATGAAAAAGCTACCCCAGATATTAGTATCGTCGGAACCAGTCTTTCAGTTAATCAATTTCTCCTCCGCGGTTCTCATTCACCCCGGGTTTCATGGTAAGTCACTAGAGAGAAATTTTGATGCAACTATATCTATGGAACGTGCAACGCGTGACACTTCGGCCGGTATACGACTGATAAAGAGCACATGCACTTGCTCATAGGCGTCTTTTGCCGACTTCGTGTGGCTTATCCATTGATCGATATGTGTGGTTTGATGTCCGAAAACCACCATATCATTATGAGAGACGCCCTAGAGGAGGGCTCCGGAAATTTCGACAACCTGGGGTTCTTTGACGTGCACCCAAATCTGAGCACACGGGCTCTACAACATTTCCGCCTCTTTCGTAAATGCAGCAGCCGCAGCCGGCATTCGATCACGCAACCTGCGGGTCGGCAGCCAATAGTACCTTAACCACTAGACCACCGCGACGGGGCACGTGTGACTTTTCGACTTGTAAAGGCTGGCGTATTGGTAGTCATTAAAGAAGTTCAGCAGTTCCACTTCTCCACCCTCACCGTTTTAGGGTCTCAAATTCAAATCAGCTAACGGCGTTCACAACAAGGCATTCTTTTTTTTTCCCGAAACGAAACACGAAACACAGCAAGAAACGAAGGCGCAGGTGTGTTTGAAGCCGTAGGTACGAAGGCTGGGCAAGCCCATCGTTCCCATGGTGACCGAACGATTGTAGCGCCCCAGTTTCTCCTAGCGAATACTGTAGAAAACGGTTATGCCTCTTACTTTATAGAAAAGCTTTTTTATATCGCTAAGGGGTGTTAATAAACATCAACCAGTTTTCTACAACTCGACTTCATCAATACATACGTCGCGAAAGAGTCAGTGATCAGGCAGATGCAATAAAATGCCAAGTTTTACGTCTTTTCCGATTTCGGGCGCGAATTTAGTACGCAGTATTTGCATTTATACGTCGGCGTTGTGCCTCACGTACCACGCAAGAGTGACTGACTGTGAAGACTGACCGTGTAGGCTGTGTTCTGTGCGATCTTTCCCTCCATTTTACTTCCATTTTCAATTTTTCTCGTCCTGTTTCCATGTGTAGGAAAGCAAACCGGCTGTCTTAAACTAGCTAAGCTCCTGGCCCTTCCTTCTTTTTCATATCTTCTCTTTCGCAATCACAATCGGCGACTTCATATGTCAGCCGATACTTTACCATAAACAAATCTACTGTACTCTTAATGACATCCTTCGTGTGAGTGTCATTATTCCCGGACAGCAGCCACCCCACCCCCTTTCGGTTAGAGGACCGCTGATCTGACGTCAAGCTATGGTCTTTGGTGATCGCAGGAGCCCCACCAGGAGTCGGTGCGATGGGACCGGGCGGCGGGGTACCAGCGGCGCCGTCCAGGCTCCCGGTACCCCTCCTGCTTCTGCTGCCTTCTCTGCTGCTGCTCCTACTGTTGGCTCCGTGCGTCTCACTCATCCCGACCGACGACTCGTCGGCGTCCTCGAGTCCTCCTTCACCGCCGTGGTCTCCGTCGACGGCGGTGAACGCGTCCGCTAGGACAGCGAGCGATGACCTCGATAATTCCCTCGAAACGCCGTCCCAGAGCCCGCGAGCCCACGAAGACCCGGGTGGACCTGGGACGCAGGATTCAACAAGGGGCACTGATGTCACGCAGAACGCGGTAGAGAATGGACCAAGCGGCGCTGCACACCAGGTAGGCATTAGGGCTTAAAGGGTCCCAGCAACACTTTTTGGGGCATGACCACAGAACTCTGCTGATTCATAGCTGAGGCTCCTTAGAACACGTAAGCCAAACATCATAGCTGAGCACGCTGTCTGTAACTTATAAGTAATGCTCAAGGTCATCTAGAAATTGCCCTCTCTCTTTTCTAGAAGTGATACCACACATAAATTACCGCGTCATAAGTACAGTGATGATGATGATGGTGGCTAATCTAGCCTCGCGAGAGTCGCAGGCAATTGTTCCGCCCGGTTTCTTTCTTTCAGAGTAGATTGAGCTAATTTTCTCTTTATAGCGAACCGCAGGCACGCTACCAAAAAGTCGCGCGCAGCACGACGCAACAATGCACATATTGGTGGCCTATGAACTACTACTATACCGCATACGATGTTGTGCCGGGCCCTTATATCGTCACACCCCGCCGCATAACTGTCACTCATCACTGGCCACAGGCGAGTTCATCCACATCCCAACTCACAAAAATCAACGAACCCTCTCTTTTTCTTGTCATCTCTCTTTCAAAGACGCATTTCCGTGACGGAACTACGTCAGTGATAACATAGAGAGAGAAAGAGAAGGAATGTAGCAAAGGTGGGGAGGTTAACTAGACTATGCGTCCAGTTTGCATCACCCTACATATTGGGGAGGGGGAGAGTGATAACATTGTCGTGTTAAAACTTATGTGGCGGAATAGCTGAAAAAGCCCTGTATGTCAGCACCAGGCTGTAACTTGTTAACTACGCCTTTGCTCGTGCATATACCATACTTCGCTTCAGTCGAGAGGCAGAGTAATAGTAAATTGAGCGTTGAACGAGGGAAGGCGTTCCGCCTCCTACTGGGGTGCCTTTCGCTGCACCCGGCTAACTCTCGCTTCTCGTTAGTGTAATCATTCAATACTAGAACTTAACGGGGGACAAATTTCACTGTTCCAGCACGCTTCGTGGAAGTCTTCGGTGACGGCCGCAGAGGAGGCGGCGGCGAACAATGCGACCGGCACGACGAACTCGACGACCACCGCGCCGGCGGAGCCCCAGCCTCTCCTCGTCGCCTACCTGAGCAACGTGGCCGGCACGGACAACCTGCGCCGCCAGGGTCTGGTCGTGTCCGGCGCCATGACGTACGCCATCGATCTGATCAACCGGAACCGGCCCATACCGGGCCACCGGCTGGAGATGATCTACCACGACACCCGGGGCGAAATGCTGCAGGGCACCAGGGCCGTGGTCGAGTGCCGGGACAAGGGCGCCAAGGCCTTCTTCGGCCCCGAGGACTCCTGCTACGTCGAGGCTGCGGTCGCCGCCTCGCTCAACCTGCCCATGATCTCATACGTGAGTGACCGCATGCGTTTTTGTTTTGTTTTTTTGCATCCGTGCTCGCCTGCTTGTTTTTGGGCGATCCTCAAACACTATGGCGGTCCTGGGTCTTTGTTCGCAAGGCCATGCCTATGCTTCGTTTCGAAACAGTGATTGACAACTTTTTGAAGGAGAGGGCCGAGTTACCTGAAGCCGACACGTTTCTTGTCAAACCCATCCAATCTGCCAATGTTTGCCTTCATATAGGAAAGGACAAGGGAGATGGTAGCGGGGTTTGCAGGGGCCGCATAATGCTGCCCCACGGGCCGTATAGGTTACCAACACTTGTCATAGAACATTGATATGCATACAATGTTGGCTAGGAAATGCACCGTGCTCTATACAAATGGTGCGATGATGGTGCTGCCGACGGCGGCAAAACATGAACGTTCTCCACTAACGAGGAGGACAGAGACCCATTCAAAATGGCCCCTCGCCAAGTCTTTACACACCAGTGAGGCACGCGACAACGACGCGGCGCCCGTCACAAGTCATTGGAAGGGGGAAAGACGCGATTGACCTCAGTAGGGGATTTCTTTCCGGACTTACAGTGACTACACATTTTTCCCACTCTCTTAGGGCATGCCCATCCGTGGTGTGGCGGCTCGCCATCGCTAGACCATATTTCGTACAGATGGCAAAGTCGACAGATTAGTTCGTTCAGGGGGCAGAGAGGCCGTGAACTTACGCGCTGTGCTTTGAATGCGTTGGCTCTGACGGGGTGGGGAACGTGAAAAAAATTGTAGAGGGTCAGCAGCTTTTCCCCCAAAGGCCTTTCCCCCACACCTCCCAGGACCCACACGGACACCGCTCCTGTGGAGCGCTCAATAGTGGATACATCATTGTTCATCAATGCTAGCGACACGTATCACTGCTTATAATTAACCTATCGTTACCAATAATTGTCTTCGTTCTATGCATAATGAGTGACTTACTTCTTAAAAGGCGGTGCACTCTTCCGACTTCGCATATCGTTGCGGCAGCTTCCTTATGATAATTACCTGGAAGGAGCCCCGCCGCGGTGGTCTAGTGGCTGAGGTACTCGGCTGCTGACCCGCATGTCGCGGGTTCGAATCCCGGCTGCGGCGGCTGCATTTCCGATAGAGGCGGAAATGTTGTAGGCCCGTGTGTTCTCAGATTTGGGTGCACGTTAAAGAACCCCAGGTGGTCGAAATTTCCGCAGCCCTCCACTACGGCGTCTCTCATAATCATATAGTGGTTTTGGGACGCTAAACCCCACACATCAATCAATCAATCAATTACCTGGAAGGAAATGTGGCGCTCGCATGAGAGCCGCGCCAAACGGATAATGACTGTTCGTCTTTCCTGCACGACACCGTGCGCAGAGCAATACTCCATCTGCTCAGAGATAAAAAAAAAAACGTGACAAAAATAAGAGCTATCTGTCGCCCATAAAGGTTACAAAACTATAACGTGAAAGAACTATGCGTGTGATGAAAAACCCAGGTGTCGCCGAGCATGTCCCTGGCTGCTGCTCATCTATAACCAGCGCTGATGTGTTGTCGAGATAAGCCTCTTCACTGTTACGTAAGTTAATAGGGTTGACTGAAGCCCGTTTGGATATGGAAAGCTTCGACTTTTCTTTTTATCTGTGTCCTATGTGTGTCACGCGCGCTCCCAAGTAGCACCATAGATCATTATAAACTCGCCCAAGTACCTGCTCTTCATCGGCATCGCTTATTGTTGTAGCACTATTTGAGACTTGCTAAGACACAACAAACGGTAAGCGAGGCACACGTAGCGTTTCAATGCTGGTCTAATTAAGTTCATAAAAATTTGTGTGAAACTAGAGTTACATTTCTTTCATTATTGATTTGTCGGCGTGTTTGAATGGCGATGACAGGAATTCAATCAATTTGCCCCCCGCGGTGGTGTAGTGGCTAAGGTACTCGGCTGCTGACCCGCAGGTCGCGGGATCGAATCCCGGCTGCGACGGCTGTATTTTCAAGGCAGGCGAAAATGCTGTTGGCCCGTGTGCTCAGATTTGGGTGCGCGTTAAAGAACCCCGTGCGGTCGAAATTTCCGGAGTGCTCCGATGCGGCGTCTCTCGTAGTCATATGGTGGTTTGGGGACGCTGAACGCCTCATATCTATCTATCTATCTATCTATCTATCTATCTATCTATCTATCTATCTATCTATCTATCTATCTATCTATCTATCTATCTATCTATCTATCTATCTATCTATCTATCTATCTATCTATCTATCTATCTATCTGTCTGTCTGTCTGTCTGTCTGTCTGTCTGTCTGTCTGTCTGTCTGTCTGTCTGTCTGTCTGTCTGTCTGTCTGTCTGTCTGTCTGTCTGTCTGTCTGTCTATCTATCTATCTATCTATCTATCTATCTATCTGTCTGTCTGTCTGTCTGTCTGTCTGTCTATCTGTCTGTCTGTCTGTCTGTCTGTCTGTCTGTCTGTCGAATTCAAACAATTTGTTGACGCGAGCGGTTTTGAGACCATCAGTTTGCATCACTGGCAAAATTTTAGTATAGCGGATTGTTTCGCGTACTTCTGCGTTCTCTGCAGATAACTGACAGGTGCTCGAGTGTTTAGTCGTCGTCGTCGTCACCATCCTCGACTGTGCACGTCGCTTGTTTGCCCCCGACCTCTTTCTGCTACCTCCAGCAAAGATAAGTAAGTGCGCACAGCACGAGTGTGACCGTAATTATGGCAAGACTGCGTATACACTGCCTGCGGAGGACAACACCTTTCGGTCGACTGTGCCTCAGTCGACCCCGACTGAAATCGAACGCCGAAGACCGGTCATTGCCTGGTTCTGACCGGTCGGTTAAAACTGGTTTCTGGTTCAAGCCGAACTACGTACACTGTCTGCGGATGAGTATACCGCGTGGTCGACAAGTGTCGGTGCAGTGCTGTCAGCGCAGTCATTGGACAGTTAGTATACCGGGGGGTGGAAGGTGGGAGCACATTTGGCGAGCACTCTGAAATCATGACAGGTAGATTGCCACTATCCCTGAAGAGGAAGGTATATAACAGCTGCATCTTGCCGGTATACTTAGCTACGGAGCAGAAACCTGGAGCCTTGCAAAGAGGGTTCAGCTTAAATTGAGGACGACGCAGCGAGCAATGGAAATGGAAATGGTAGGTGTAACCTTAAGGGACAAGAAGAGAGCAGAGTGGATTAGGGAACAAACCGGGGTTGAGGATATCATAGTTGAAATCAAGAAGAGGAAACGGACATGGACCAGGCATGTAGCACGTAGACGGGATAACTGCTGGTCATTAAGGGTAACTAACTGGATTCCTAGAGAAGGTAAGCGGGTTGGGGGGAGACAGAAGGTTAGGTGGGCAGATGAGATTAAGAAGTTTGCGGGTATAAATTGGCAGCAACAAGCACAGGACCGGGTTAACTGGCGGAATATGGGAGAGGCCTTTGTCCTGCAGGGGACGTAGTCAGGCTGATGATGATGATGATACCGGGCTTACCGGGATACCGGGCGTACCGTGATAGCGGGATCGAAGTGCGCATGCGCAGATACGTATGTTACCCGTACCGCTTCCCGTACGCGCGGTATTTTTCAGATTTCACGTTACCGTGGTAGCGTAGGTGTACGTAGTGTACGTAAACATGGCGGCGCTCTCGGACGCCCGCTTCGAAGTGATTTTGGCGTAGTTGTTGAAACATTCTCTTTGTTCGCAGCAAACGACCGTTCAACGTGGCTTCACTTTCTTTCAGTTAGCTTCGACGAACGAGTATTACAGATAAGTGCGTAGTTTTTGAGAAAGCTTCCCATTTTGAACATGTTTAGGCCTAACTACAACATCGATGTAAACAAATTGGCAGCATAAATGTATTCGCGCTTGGTGCGTGGTTCATATATATTTACTTTTATTATTACTAAAATAAACTTGTAACAATGCTTCGCGTGCTGACACATACATACGTTCTCGTTTTCTTTTTCACTGTTCTTACTTCTCAACCGTCCGATAGGTGGCGCCACCATCCCTGCTAAGGCACGTAAACGCTATCCCACTAAACTATAGGACGCTGTCCGCAACGAACATTTACCACACGGTAAGGCCATTCCCTTGACCTTCGCTATCACGATAACGGTAAAATATAACTGTCTACTCAGGCTGAAATCGGACGCCGAAAACCAGTTGGTGTCTCGTTAGAATCGGTTGGCGAAAACTGGTTTCCCGTTCAAGCGGTCACCCACAACTGGTTTCTGGCCGTAAGCGTACCCCGACGACCAGTTTGTGAAATACAACCGGGTGCTGACGACCGATTTCTAGCTGAAGGCTTGCCACTGAAGACCGGTTTTTCTGGTACAACCGGTTTCTGTGCGTAAAGGGACGCCAAATGAAGAAGAGCTCGTGACCCATTTCTGATGGAAAGTGGTCACCGAAATTCGCCGGCAACTGGTTTTCACTTTAAACTGGTCAATGCAGCTCGTTTTGTGGCTGCAAAGGGTTACTGGTGACCAGTTTATGATAATAGTAACAGTTTATCATCACTTGAAATTCGGAGAGATGGTGCACAGCTGACGGGAATTTAGAACGAAAGAAAAAAGAACAGATTGTGAAAGAATTCGCAACTTGTTTTTTGTGAGAAGCCACAAGGAAGTTTGTATAATGTATTTTTCAGAATGGCAAGCTTTTAGAATGAAAAATAAAGAAATCGTCCTGGTTAGGGGATTGAACCCAGAACTAGAGATAACTTTTATTCAACCAACGAGCTTTGGTTTCTCAGAAACGCGCAGGGATTTACATCTGGATTCGTGCATATACAGGCGGTCGTGAATTATCGCGTTGATTACCCTTCCGCCGCCTTGTGGAACTCCGTGAAAGTCATTTTGCGGAACTCGGCAAAAGCTCCGCCTTCATGGGACCTTTGCGGCGCGTTCCACAGCCAATCAGATCAGCAGCCATGGTGACGTCAATGACACAGGGCGTGTCGCTTTGCGAATGGGCGGTTCAAAACGCGTTTGAGCG